GTGCCCAAGATAAGTGTGCTGAAGTACCTCTAGAACTGCTTCTTTCTCAACACCAAATATAGAGAGGAAATGGGATATCTAGGTCTGATGTAGACAACTAACCTTTACAAAGCCAAGGTAAAGCAAAATTAATTTTATCCTTACTATGCACTACAATGGACAAGGACATTGCACAGATTTTTAGTAAACTTCCTTCCCTACATTTTCTGGCACTGCTGGAATTGTCTTCACAGGGCAGATTAAAATTAAAAATACTCAATGAAAACTGGCGCTTTGCTGAAGCTCACAGTCACAGCATCAGCTATGGTGACATTAGTAGATCAGGTATCAGGATTATACTAGTTTTTCCAAAATTTCAGATAATTCCTTATTATCGCTACTGTATTGTCTTCATTGCTTAAGAATCTGATCACTTTTATTTCAGAAAGTCTGTCTGGCAGTCTGGCATTTAATCAATTTGTTAGAAAATAAGTTTTATTTCTCTTTGGTAGGCGACATTATTACATTTACTGCATTCTTTATCTGTCTTTTATTGAAATTTCCATTTTTGGACAGCATGTTGTCCCACATTTTTTTAGCTTAGTGGAGAAGCCAGGCCTTAATAGCACAAGCAAACTCATGTTCACACTTGTACACACTTGAGAAAAGTCTAGAAGGTATCCTTAAAACTATATTTAGTATCAGAGGAAATGTACTTAAAAGCTCATGATTTAGGAGGAAAATATTGTATCAATAATGTTAGTAAAGTAATTAAAAACCTGGATTATGTAGTAATATTACAACTGCAATCTGCTTTAGTCAGGCCAGGCCAAGAGCATGGTTTACGTGACCAGTATCTAAATTATGAAGTAATTCTGTTAAACTGCTATTGCTGTTTGCAGGCTTCAAGCCCCTGACAGGTACAAAAGGGAACAGAAGAAAACCTGTATCAATTTCGTGCATCAGAATCCCAATTACCCTCATTAGCTGCTCACTGCTGGGTGAACACAGCTCTTGGATCCATTTTCCAGGGAGGAGATCTGTGGGGGTGATAAGGCATTCCCTTCCTGTGCAAACCTTACTGCTTCAGCAAGGTCTGTGCCCATCAGCTTCTTCATGAGAACATGGTAGTGAAGTAAACACAGCCCTGCCAAATAATACCTTGTGAAGCTCATTGAGCTGAACCCCAGATAAGTAATATTTGAAAAGGATGTCTGTCAAGAGCATGCTTGGCTGGAGGTGTCAAGATCGTCTGACATTCTCTTTGTGTCCTGGATTTTTCTAGTGAAGGTAAAGGATCACTAATCCACGTACTGCCAGTGACTAGCAAAAACAAGATGCTCATGAGTAATCCCATGGAAATGGGTGGAGGCATAATTTTTGTGATCCCCTCCCATCTTACTGTCAGTGGAAACCTGCTCTCTGTCATCATGATGTGTTGACAACATTTTGATTTGGTCATCTGCTCCTTTGCTATGAGTCCTCAGAGTTTGCTTTGAGTGCTCAAGCAGTAATTCTTAGGTAGAAGAAGGAGCACCCATGGCCAGTCTCCTACTGATGTTCATCATGAAAACAAAGTATGTATCAGTGTCTAGGAGGAAGGCTGTCCACTTGTTCATGTTCCAAAAATTCTGAAAAAGTGTATAATTTAAACAAAAATGTTTAAATTGCTGTAGTGCCAGGCACAGACTCATTATGGAGTTCTTAGTAAGAAGTGACGGCCCTCTTTAGTTGCTAGTCATTGAGAAATAGCATAGCAGTAATGCAGTCCCAGAAGGTGCTCTCACATCAGTGCCTCTAACGCCCCTCTGTGTTGCCAGAAAAGGAGAAGAAAGACAGTTATTTGCTCTCAGTTATTGAAAGTATTTGTGAAGCTGAGCTTTATTAGCTGTATTTATCTGACAGTGTATACTGTGTTCCTCCAAATCTGTAGTTTACCAAAACTCAAGTAGTCTAAACAGGGATCATTGATTATGCCAAAGAAGTTAAAGCAGACAACCAACTGTAACAGAGTGAAACAAGCCATGGAAGCTCCAAATCAATAGTATGGATCACCACAGTTATTCAGTAACCAGTCTACCTTCCAGAGTGCTAAGGGGTATGTAACACATCTATTTTAGTTCTTGTTATTAACTAGCAGCTGATTCACCAGCCACCTTGTTCTCCTTCAGAGAAGAACGATTTTCATGAAGGTAGAAAAGCAAATGGCTGAGGCAGTCACTGCTTCAGCCATCTCAGTGTAATCTATTCCTCAGCCTCAGATCCTCACACAAGTCCACTACAGTCTCACTAGCTTGTGCTCTGTCATGGAGGTGCTGAAAACAGGGGAAAATGCAGCCTTCCTTGGTCTGTACAATACAGAAGAGGCATAGAAGAGTTATGTTTCAAATTACCATTTACCTTCATAGAAAACTTTTCTAGTACACATTGTCGATATGAGGATGTAACACCCAGTCACTGACTGTCTCTCTGAAACTTTAAATGTTTCTCTAATCATATACTGCTGACTGCATTCATTTTGAGTACCCAGAAGAAACAATATATTTTTATGGTTAAGAGTATATGGACACAACATTTATATAATGCACTAATGTGGTGAAATCTCCCTTGACAGTCTTGTTACTCATCAGAGGTTTGTCAGTGCTAAGGTAGGGATGTAAAGGAGAATTAAGGCAAGGAGGAGTGTTATTTGTAGTACAATCCAAAATCCAAGCAAAGCCCCACTGATATTTATGAAACTATTGTCAAAGCAAGAGCAAGTAGCTCAGGGCCTAGTGGTAGTTTTTGCTTCTTCTTGTCAAAACTGACCACATATGTATCATCAAAAAGCGTTTTCCTCAGTTCCTATGCAAAGATCCAAGTACGTGTGTTTGCAGCTCAGCTACAGCAACTGCATGTTGACAAGCAGGAATATTACCTGTAACACTCATAAAATCCTGCAGGTTCAGGATGTTTCTAGAGGTACCAGAATGCTAACCCTTGCGTCTGCATGTAAGGTGTGTGAATGTTTTAATTTTTAGAAGGAATTTCCATTATAAAAACCACATAAAAGTAATTATGTTTAATATTTTGCATAACTGTCTGTAGAAGCTTGAATAGGAACCTGGTTCATTATTTACTCTACATGAGAAACATGAAAGAAGATGTGGAAAAGAGATGCATTTTTTTAAATCAACTGTATCAGTTTACAGTGATTAATATACCCATGCATTGCCTATTTGATCTTTAAGAAAATATTGAGGACAGACAATACATCCAATTATCAGAGCCAGTAGACAATGAGCTAGGTACCTGTTGTTCTGTTCTCCTTACTAAAAATAATGTGAAGTGATACATAATGAGAAATAGAATGGGATCCTGTCAGTCAGCAACATGTAGCTGTGCACTGCTGCACATCAGTACCAAAGTAAGTGAGAACACCAGGAAAAGAGATCAGACCATGCTGGAGCATGGATGCAAAACTGAGTAAGCATCATGGAAGACTGTGGATTGTTTGACTCTTGCATTTAACTGGACTTGGTTGATTCACTATGAAAAAAAACCCAGCCAAAACCTAAACAGTAGTCTCCCCCATCTTTCTCTCCCTTTCTTTGCCTTTGTGCCTTCTTATTGGAAATTGCCATATTCCTTATATTCTTCATGTTGAGATCCTTCACCTCCTTTCTGTACTCCAACATCACCCCTGTCTCCACCCTGTCAATTTGTTGTTTTGTCTTTATTTTTTAACTCAGAGGTCTTTTCAGTCTGCCATCTCCAGTAGTTTCAGTCCTTTTCTCTGTCAGGCATACCTTGGAGTGATTCTAAGTGTAGAGAATGTATTTTCTCAACCAGAAAGAGATAATAGGTGGCTTCAAATGCATAGATGAGTGTCCATGCAAACAGATGTATCCTATGACCTTTCTTACAATGAAGTCTCAGAAAAATTCCTAGACTTCCCACAGAAGACCCAAAAAAACCAAAACTAGAATTAGAGCATCCATTTTTGCCTTTAAACCTTAAAACCCTCTGCATTACCAGTTTTGCTGCCTTTACTGATGATATTATCTATTCTGAGTTTACCTTTGGTCTGGTTGTGCTGCTTGTGGCAAGTTTTTTTGATTTCTAGAAACATATGTCAGTATAAAGAACAAAATCATGCTAACCTTCTAGTATACCAGTGCATTATTTTTTTTCCTTTTTGTGATCCTTCATTGTGAAATACACATCCAGGTGCAGATGAAGCCTCTGTGCCACATAGCTGCTGGGGACCTCTGGGGCAGAGGGAGCCCCAGCTGAAGCCAAGTGCTATGGTCAGTTCAGTTTCACTTTTGAACGTGCAGAGGCAGGAGCAACTCTTTCTCCCTTTCTTTATAGGTAAATCTTCAAACGAGTCCTGCAGTGATGACTACCAGTTTAAAGTATTGTGGATTTTTTTTAACTTCATGATAATGTAAGTTTACCTACAATCAACAGAGAATTTTGAGCCTGTTACAGTTATTTTGTTCCTCATGCACATGGACCTCACCTTTGTGGTGAAGAAGACAAACAGGTAAATTTTCTAGCATATTCCTCCCTAGCTGCACGTGCTTCTGTGCTTCTCTGAACACCATCCTTTTGAGTTAAAATCCTTTGGAAAAGTGGGTGTTTTGCTATGGTGAAGTCCAAAATAGCAGTTCTAGCCTGTATTAACATTTTCCCTCCTCATCCCCTATATATTGTCCAGAAAAATCTTTAATCCAGCCTGGGGTCAAGTTCCTCTGGACTCTCCAAGTCTGCCCAGAGCTTGAGCTGTGCTGAGGCAATTTTCTTCCAGTTTGGGAATCATACAGAGCTCTTCTTCCAGATAATTTCAAGGCATGATCTAGCAGTGTTAACAGCTTGAGTCAATCATTAACAAGAAATTGCAAGCCAACGAGCAAACTGCTGCAGATGCAAACAGTTTGGGAAGCATTGGGAAAGGAGCAGCTGTGTCATCGTTTTTAAGGTGAGAGCCTGAGGCAAAGGAAACCTGCGGCCTTCTGAGGCAGGTGAGCAGCACCTGGGAGTTGTTGTTGATGATTTATTTAACTTGGTGCTGGGCCCCACTGCACCTGAGGTAAGCTATTCCTAGGCTTACATGTTCTGTATGTGCAGTCTATTTTTCTGAGAAAAGGGATTTTGAATAATGCTTGAAAATATTCCTTTCCCCAACATTTCTGGTAATACAAACAGTGAACCAGCAGATGAAGGTCTGTGTCTCAGGGAAATCTATGGAAGCGTGACCTATACCAGGACTTGGATAAAAACTTGTTTTAAGACAGTAGCTCAAGTAACAGGACCTTTTAACTGAAAGGTTAAAAAGAAACTAAAAAAGCTGTTAAATCATGCTCTGCAGGAAATGTGTAGATTAGATTCTTAGGGATCTGATTCCATCTCACAGACTTTTATGGGACTTTCAGCCCAGAAAGAAGAGAAGACAGATGTTTGCTTTTCGTGTACAGGCTCCTCAGTGTGGACCAGCTTAGTGGGTGGTGGAGGCTGTCTCTAAAAAGCCAGCAGGATTCCCTCATAGCAGGAAAATAATATTTTGCTGCATTATTTGGGTGAAATTGCCCTCTCCTTTTCTTAGAGTAGGTGGCTGATTGGGAGGGTGCTTCCATACTGCACCCTTCCCTCTCAGTATTACTGGCTGCTCTCATGCACACTCTCAGGCCAGAGAGTGTTGTGGACAGATTCTTGCAGATCTTCTTTCTTACTCTCTCTCTTGTCTGCTCCTCTTATCCTCTGCATTTCAGCAGGTGATGTAATGATACGGGCAGGACAGACAACAGGGCAGCCTGCCTCATCTGCAGATGCACCATCTGGCCTATATTGAGGCTTTTTGTATTCATGGAAATGAAAAATACCTTTTTTTTTCTGCTCATCATTGACTTTACTCATTCATATTACCTCTGCCCAATGCAGTCCAACATGAGACTGATCTTTCTAGAGACGTAATACCTTCAAACCAGAAAGCACTGTCAGCATCTTGCTGAATTCCAGCTTTCCGAAAAATGGGAGAGTTAGAGGACTTAAAAGTATCTTTGCTCCCTTGAAGAGAACAGAAATTTGAAAACTAAAGGGAACAGAGTCAATTCTTAATACAGTCACTGGTAATTGTCTATAATGGAATCAAATTAACTCAGCCTGGACCGTAGCTAGAGATAGAGCTTTGTAGCACTCAATTTTTATCAGTTTGCTTATTATAGACAAGTCCAGTGCTGGTCTGAGGTGACATAGTCTCTAGTTTCTGTAACCATGTGCATAACAGAAAGATATTTCACACAGGACAATGAGATACAGAAGTTCTATCAATTTTTGTTAGAATTTTCTTACATTTCAGAAGTGAAAAAAAAGGAAGCTCTGGTGGGAAAAATGATTTCAAATATTTTGCTCGGATGTAGTGATTCTCCAGGATCAAACAGGATGATCACACAGTGTTTGTGCTTTCTGGGGAAATGAAGGAGACCCAGTAACCATGTCCCTTGTCCTATTATTCTGGGAGAATCCTCTTTTTTGGAAACACTGCATAAGTTACATCTGGCCATGCTAAGTGCCCTGTTCATTTCTGTTTCTCATATAAGTATTCTTCTTCTTTGTGCTACATGGAATAAAATTAGAATAGATTAACCACTAACTACTTATTCCAGCAGCAGCTGAACAGTCTGTCATGTGTTCCCAGTTGTAAGTAATCTAAAATCTGTCTTTTGCTTTTTTATAGGTACTGATATATTTCATATTGCTGAGTCTTCCAGCAGCAAGTGAAGAATATGTATTTGTTCCTCCTTTCCATTTTATATTTGCTTTTGAAAGCCACTGGCACCAAAGAGGTTATATTTGGTCATAGTAATTTCACAGAATATCAAGTGGGCAACATGAACCTGATTCTCTCTGTCCCACATGGTGGGTCAATGGAGCCCAAAGACATCCCTGATCGAGAGGCTGGCTGTTGGGATGCGAAGACATCCTCTTGTATTTTCTCTCATGAGTGTCCTCCTGGAGGTATTCAAAATTATGAGAAATGCAAAGTGTCTACCAACCAAGACAGGTATACTATAGAGGTGGCTCAGGCTCTTGCTGAAGAAATCAACAAAATTACTGGTGGCTTCTTCCCACATATCATTATAAACCACCTACAGAGGTTCAAGATGGATGCTAACAGGGAAAAGGAAGAAGCCTCCTTTGGAATTCCCCAAGCAGAACAGGCCTGGGAGGAGTATATGGAATTTTTGACCACTGCAAAATCGCAGATGACAGGAGGCCTAATTCTGGATATCCATGGACAAGCACATCCTGAACAGTGGATAGAACTAGGTTATACACTTTCAAAAACTTCCCTTAACTCTGGCGTCTTTTCTGCATGGTTTTCCTCAATTAGCCACCTGGCCAGTCAGCTAATCAATGTGTCATCTGAGACTTTGGTTGCAGGGAACAGAAGTTTGGGTAAATATATTGAAGAACAAAATAACAGTTACATTTGTGTGCCTTCTCCATCCAATCCTAGCCCAAATAATGGGAGCTATTATAGTGGTGGATACATAACAAAGACTTTTGGTTCCCGTAGTTCTGGCACCATTGATGCCATTCAGCTTGAACTACCCCAGTGGGTGAGGGCAGCTGAAGAACGTCCCAGATTTTGTAAAGCACTAGCAAGGGCTGTAATGAAATTTTGGCAAACTAACTACTGCAGCCAGTGCAACCATGAACTTCTGCCATGCTGAAAGGGGCTGTCCTGTTAAGCTAAAATTTCCATAATACAGTAATGATCTGGAACAACAGAATAACTGGTACACCTGGAATATTTAAGCCTGCAATATAATTGCAGATGCTGGTGGAAATAAACTAACCTGCAGAGGAATACAGAGACATCAGCATAGAGAAAATCCACAGCTAATACCGACAAGTTTGTTAACACACAGCTTTGTACTAGACCCAACATTGAAAACGCTGCCTGAAGATGAGTGGGTATATTTGGAAGTATCAGTTGCCTGGTATGCTTTTCTGTGCTTAATTTCTTTCCAGTAGCCTTGTCTGTTCTCTAGCATACAATAAACAACTATTCTTCTAATGAATGCTGTGCAGTGCAATGCCTTAGTGGATTATCTCTTCAAAGACATGAAGTGTCTCTGCTTTTCTTGTGACATTCAAGAAAGACAATTGGATAATGTAATTGTGTAAAATGTTTGGGGCCCAGACCAGTTTCCATTTGGTGTTTATAAAGCCTTAGGAGTTGGAACTCTTCAAGTAAACAGTAATACTGAGCAATGACACACGGTCTGAACTACTTCAGGTTTTGTTAATTAAATGAATTATGAAAAAAAGTCTGAGAGCATTACAGCACTGTAATTTTGTCAGAGTTTAAATAGCACAACAGTAAGGTAGTAACTGGATGGCAGGCTGCTAAGATAACACATACTTATCATGCATTTTTGACAGTTTTACTTACAGCATGGTTCCCTCCTGAGAGCTGGTCCATTGATTTCATTCAGCATAAGATTAAACACTTGATTGTTACTGGGAATAGTGTTACATTATGGATGGGGTCTTCTGCACAGTGGAGAATATAGTGGTATGAATATACATGAGGACAAATTAACTCTTGGAAAACACAGGTGATTAATAAGCAAAACCAAAGGGAGCAGGCAGCAGGAGTGAAAAGAGTAAAAATTAAAAACTAAGAACCTATTAAACCCTAGCAGTGCTAAAAGTTTGGTAAAAAGAATGAGTAAATAGTCAGTTCTGAGGAAGTAAATAGTAAGTTAATGAACTGAAGTGGGATATCTGCATGTTACACCACAGTAAAATACTTTAATTCTATGAATAGGGACAATAACAAAGAGAAAATCTTACACCATTATAAAATATAACACATAAGAGCATCAAAAGAAATGGGTAAGGAGAGCTCTGAACCTGAACTGTTCATTTTTATTAATCTTTGAAGACTAGGCAATTTTCAGGTAACTGGAAGAGAGCTGATGTAGCTGTCTTTCAAAGGCAAATAGGACACAGAGAACTGCAGGGATGTTACCTTTCAAACACTAACTGCTAAATCATGGGGCAGATGAAGGGAACACAAATAGCAAATGGCAGATTACACTTTATCTGCTTCCACTTGGTTTGTCAGACAAGCTTGATTTTAGTTTTAATCACAAGGTTGGTTAATGTGGTGGGTTGACCATGGCAGACACCACGTGCCCACCCAGTTGCTTGCTTACTTCTCCCAGTGGGATGAAGGTGAGATTTGGAGGAGAAAATGTGAGAAAACTCATGGGTTGAGATAAAGACAGTTTAATAGGTGAAGCAAAGCTGCATGTGCAAGAAAAGCAAAATAAGGAATTCATCCACTACTTCACATCAGCAGGCAGATATTGAGCCACTTCCTGGGAAGCAGGGCCTTGGCATGGATAATGGTTATTTGAGAAGACAAACACCATAACCATGAACACTTTGCTTTCCTCCTTCATTCCACGAGCTCTTATTGGTGAGCAGGACATTATATGGTATGGAATGTCTCTGGTCAGTTGGGGTCAGCTGTCCCAGCAGTGTCCCCTCCCAGCTTCTTGTGTACCTTCAGCCTCCCCACTGGGAGTGGGAAAAAAGCACCTTGATATTGTGCAGGCATTGCTCAGCAATAGCCAAAACACTCTTTTAGTCACAAAACCAGAACACAGCACTATACTGGCTCCTATGAAGAAAATTAGGTACATCCCAGCCAGATCCAGTACAGTTGATCATAATATTTTTAAATATACTCTCACAGCATGTTTTGCTAAAAAAACCCCTGTTATTACCCCAAAATTCATCACAGCCCTATAACAAGTTGAAGACAGTTAATCGTTGCAAATTATTGTATATTCAGCTCATCAGAAGACAGTCTTTCCAAGAAGGCCAGCAGATCAAACACTGTTCACTACCAGTAATATAGAAACCCCACTATTTTCCCAAACATAGTAGGTAATAATGGCACTAGTTACATGGATTATCCTAAATACTCACTAAGGTGACACACTTGGCAAGGATTTGTAACTTTAGCCAGACAAAGGATGATAGAATATGTATTCTGTGACCTGTGTCATGTTGTGCATTCCTGTCCTGGAATGCTGAAATGCCAGGAAGAATTCATGGAATCATGACAGATAATTAATTGAATATGAGCTCAGCATGCATTCTTCTGGCCTAAAGGATGAACATGCTCTTTGCAAGCAAAAGCAAGGAACTAACGGGCAGAAACAGCAAAGCATTTTACTCCTTATTGCGTATCTGATGCTCATAAGATTGTGAGTAGAAAATAGAGTTCTGAGGCAGATACATAAAAAAAAGATAACCAATGTGTGATGGAAAGAGATAAAAACGCTACAGAAATCTGCCTTGTAATGAGAGTCTCACAAAGCTCAAATGGCAGTTACCTTTGCTATCACGAGTAATTGGGAAGCTGTGAGAACCTGGGTAAAGGACAATACTGTTTGTGTTTTGCTTCTGCCATGTTACTGTAACACACTGCTTCCAGACCTGAACTGGCTCCTGAAGCTGCAGTGCACTGCCCCTCAGCTAAAATGCCAAGCCTTCTCCTTTCAGCTTGGACAAGTTGACTGAAGCATGGACAGCAGACGCTAACTTCTTTGATTAAAAAGAATAATCTCTGGGAAGGATTTTTGGTGGCTGATGAAGCTTCATCTGGCAGAAAAAAGGCAGCATAATATCCAAAGTATGAAAGTCCAAACTGGACAGATTTGGAGCAGAGAGGAAACCTGTGGTTTTGACATGACGAGTAGCTGGCAGCAATGTACATTAAGAACCCTAGGATGCTCCCTTTGCCTGGAAACCAAAATAGCAACACAAATAGGCATTTGGCCACAGAAGATATTCATGATGGGTTCTCTGCCTTGTGCCACCCAGAAGGTTAGACTGGATGAACAACCAATCTCCTTTGGCACTAAAATTCATACATCTTTCTGTCAGAGTGTAAACTCAATTTTATCAATTCCCAATTGCTGAAGTTCCTGCAGCATCTTCCCTAAGGAAGCAGATGTCTAATCTGGTATCTCAGGCAAAAGTGTTTTCTTTTACATGATATATATTACACTGGTCCTGGTTAAGATCTTTGTCCTCAGGGCCATAATTAATTCTTAGATGTTGAATGGGCTATCCACTGATTTTAGCATGAATGATTTTTGCGTAAACCCAAGATCCCTTCCTCTTTTGCTGTGTGCTTTCCCAAGCAGAAGGGCAGCTCATTATGCAGCACAGGATGAAAGGTGCTGCTCAATATGACACTATTATTACTTGTGCTAGTTAAAGATTCGATTTTCCTATTTAGATGAAAATAGGGAATAAAGCATAAGAAGAGCAAAGCTTCTGCCACAGGAGAAGGGACAAACCTTTGTATGGGTTTCTTAAATGTTGATGAGGAGATTATTTTCCAACATTTTCCAGTCCTCTTCCAGTGCTATCCAAAGGTTCAGTTTTAGATTAAGGGTTCAGGGTCCAATCATAAAAGTAGGGAAGATGTTAAGTAGGTTTTAGCACATCCTAGAGGGGAATAGTTTAGGATTTTCAATTAACACAAAATCCACCCGAACAACATTGTTACTAGGCTCTCATTAAGCAAACAGCCACTGGCAACTGCTGAAAAGGAATACAATTTCTGATCTCCCTAAAATATGCCGAGTAACTTTTACAAATTTTGGTCTTGTTTACAACAGTTCAGTGTAAGGAGTTCATATTGAATCACAATAATGATAAAATAATGCTATTATACTTTCATCTTCATTACACCCTGAATCATACATTGACCTTCCTTTAAAAACATCTACCATGCCCTAGGCTTGGTTTGTGCTATATAATAAACATGATGAAAATAATTGGTCAATTGAGTTGACCTATAATGTTTTTTTTACTGTTTTAAATCTGCATTGCTAAGATTTAAATTGATGCAACAAGGGATCAGGATTTTGCCCATAAACCTGAACTGACAGGCAGTAAATTGATCAGAAAAACTAATTTAAAAAATCTTATCAAAACAGATTTTTCCTACTGTGACATGTTAGTGCATTTCTAAAATGAAGTAGCGTAAACCAGAAGGAATCTGAGCTGCTGAAAGTGAATTTTTTGGGTAATATGGCCATTTAATTCTGTTGATAGTTCTGGTCAAGGTTTCTTCTTAACAAACAAAAATATTGGTGCTAATAAGTATCAGAATAATAGTTCTGATGATTTGTTCACATAGCATTAACAAAACAATTGCAAGGAGCTTTGCTTGGTTTTTGCTTTTTCTGTGTCTGTAATTATGTTTAATCAATATAAAGTTAACTCAGCTGAAAATAGTGCAGTTAAAGATGGAATGTTCTAAGATGCTGTGACCTAAATCCCCGCATCTTTAATTAGGGCTGTTTCTCAGTATTTGAACCCAGTTGTCAGTCTTCCTTCTGTCTTATCTCCACATAATTAACAGGGAAATCTAAATGTTTCTGGAAGACATTTGAATAGGATACTGTGGCATATGTGTGCATATGGTACATCTCAGCAACTTTTTGCCTATCCAAGGACATAAAAGCTCCTGAAACACGAGAGAAAGGTTAGAGCAGTACCTGTGGAATAACATTTCTTGTTCTTCAGAGAAGTCTGTACGGCTAGCAAAAGAAGAATTTTTGAAGATTTATGGCTCTGAATCTTTAAGCAGTTAATAACAGTAATGTGCTTTTCCTTCTTAACCATCAAAAAGTGAAGTGAGATAGACTTTTCTGTTAATATCTTGCTATATTCATACGCTACC